CCCAGCAATAGAAAATGGTCTTGCTAAGGCCTAGGTCTGACTATGTCACTCCCCTGCCAAAATAAATAAATAAATAAACAAACAAAAAATACCTTTAGTCATTCCTTGTTGATTATAGGATAACAAACAAACTTCTTAGATTAACTTTTAAGGTATAGTATAATTTAGCTCTCCTCCCACCCCGTTTTACAAACTTTTTTTTTCAAATTATTCCCTTTTACACACAACACTTAAATTGGCATCCCTCTTTTTGGCCTTTTATCTCTTCCTTTTGTGCATTTATACAAGCCATCCCCAAAGTCTAAAACACAGACCCCCTCTGTCTCTGCATTTCAGATTCCTTATTTCTTTTCATGGCCACACATCATGAAGCTCTCCATAATCCCAATAAGCACTAATGTTTTTTCCTTTCTCTCTTTTCCTTGTATTTACTTATCCACGTATGTATTGAACACACTTCACCCACCCCATTACTTTACCCAGTTCCTGTCAGTTGTCCATACACAGTAAGCCCTTAAGTTTTTTTCTGAGTTGAATTAAGGTAATAACTCCGCTTTGATGGCACCAAATATGTCCTAAAATTGCTGGTACTAAGATGGCAATGTGACAACTGATTCTGGCGAAGCAGCTTAATACGTAGACCTTTGTCTACTTCTCCTATAATTCTGATATCAATATATGGATCAAAGGAGGGGGAAGGGGGAAATGCCTTCTTCTTCCCATGAGATTTTCAGGTCATGCCATCATGTCACCCACCAGATCCAATATAAGGAATGAAGTTCTATCTAGAATGTTCTCCAATCTGGGCTCACAAAGCTGAGTCACTGACCCTGACCTAAGGGCCAGCCACTATTATTGTCTATGTAGCACCCCTTCTGTGAACTGCCTCCTCAATTCACATTAGCAAGTTGGGTGCCTTAGAAGACAGCAAGCACATCCAGGTTCTTTTTTTTATTTTAATTTTTTTAGGCAATTGGGGTTAAGTGACTTGCCCAGGGTCACACAGCTAGTAAGTGTCAAGTGTTTGGTCCGAGGCCGGATTTGAACTCAGGTCGTCCTGACTTCAGGGCCGGTGCTCTATCCACTGCACCACCCAGCTGCCCCTCCACATCCCGGTTCTAAAGATACTCTCTGTGAGTCCCTGCTCCTAAAACTATGGCTCACAAGTCTCCAATGGTATGTTTACCTTTAAGAGTCAGCCAGTAAACACAATTCACACAAAGCAAAGTCATTTACTAGGATGGCATAGCAAGAAAAGTAGCTACAAAACATTTCCCCACCACCAATAAACCCGAGACGTGCCCTCCCACAAGTCGGCAGTGGGAAGAGTGAGTTCAAACTTAAAAGGACCCTGGTAGTGAGACAATACATAGGAAACACGTGTCATTGGCATTGCGTGCCTCTGGTACCATAGGACTCCAACGCCCTTTCCTTCCTTGCAGCATCCTCGTTCTACTACCCCTCGTCTCTGTGTCTCTGATGGGTAAGCTGCTCATTCTGCAATTCTCCACAGACTAACTCTTGACTTGCACGGATAGTTCTGTCACCTTCACCACTGGTACTCTTCTCTGCTGCTGGAAGTCACTGTTCTTGAAGGTGCTTCCTGCCCCCACCTCTCAGTATCTGTCTCTGCTCCTTACTGAATGTCTTCTACTGAGTTACGTCAGGAGGAAAAAGAAATCGCTACACCCTGATGGAAGCATAGGAGCAATCATCAATCCATCAGACTGATCCTTGTCTAAAACAACTCAACTGATCCCGGGGTCAGCAAGCTTAGCTCTTTAAAGACTAGCCAATACTTTGACCAGCCAATAAGAAGTTGCCTTCCTGATTCCATCAGAGAACGTCTTCAAATCTTGTAAATGAATAACAGGGCACTTCCCTTAACATGCTAATACCTCGCTGCCTCTATCTGCCCCTTACTTTTTGTGGTTGTATTAATTTGCTAGAGAGGTAAGGTGTGGAGAAATCAACTTTCTCCCTCCTTTGTGCTCACAGACACAGACACGCTTCGTCTACTACCACCAGTTTCACGCAAGGTTGCAGTATTATCTGATCCCCCCGGTCAGTTATCCCAAAAGTTGTGTCCCAAAAGTTATCTAGGATTCTCAAGACTACCTAAAATAAAAGTGGAGCACTAGACTTCTTGGTAGTTCTGCCCTGGGGGGCATGAACAGGTGATGTTGCATTCTGGATTGGTAGGGAGTAGGGACATGGAAAAGGTTTGGTTCTGATAGAGGTCCTCTCAGCATGAAATCCTCAGATTTCCCTTGGGCTTTTAACTGTGCCCTGTACTAACTAGTACCTCCAGCAAACCGTAATGCGAACATGCCTTTCCCTAGATCAGGTCTGTTCACCTGTGGTCAGTTGCAAGTGATCTTTCCTCTCTTCCCTCCCCCCATTCCAAGCTGCATGGCTTCTTCTGGATTAAGTCACATGGCCAGGGGGATTTGGAGGGTTAGATGGATGTTACCCATAAGGAGACTGTCACCAGTGGCCCCATGTTGAGGGATATATCGATTTAGGTGTGCTTTTTGATGAAACCTGGCAGCAGGGTTTCTTCTAGCTTTGTTTTGCCAGTTCATCACAGACTAGATCTGCCAGGTCTTCTTTAATGTGGTTTGTTAAAGCCAGCTGGTTCTGGCTGAGATTCTAGGTACAGGGGTAGGGAACCTGTGGCCTTGAGGCATAATGACCTACGACATTAAGCAAGAAGGTGCTCATAAACTCCTTTCCTACTGAAAACCTCAGACACTTACTAGCTATGTGACCCTGGGTGAATCACTTACCCACTGTCTGCCTCAGTTTCCTCAAGTGAAAAATGAGGATAATAATAGCACCTACCTCCCAGGGATATTACAAGGTTCAAAAGAGATAATATTTGTAACGCACCATAAGGCCTGGGACATAGTAGGCATTCGATAAATGCTTGTTCTCTTCCACTCAGGACAGCACAGCATAGTATAATAGGTTTACTAAGCTTGTAGGGAAATCATTGTCAAATACAGGGCCAAACTACATAATGCAATATCAGACCCAATAACAATTGCTGTCAGCAGACAGATTTCTCATGGCTCTCTCTGTTCCCCCACAGTGAGGCATTCCCAGATCCCAATGGGAAGTAAAGGTCTCACCAGGTCCAAGGAGCCATGATTGTTTTCCCTGCTATAGTTTTAGATGCTGCACCAGCCTTGGAATGGCTTGGGCAATTGTCAAAATAGAGTCTGCATTACTCAAAGCTTGTCTGTTTTGCATTTTACAAGTTTTTTTTTTCCAGACTTCTTGCTCTGTCCTCTGTTTTATAACTTTATTTATTTGCTCCTCTCTAGTAAAATACGATGCCTACCACCGTCAGGTACGTAGAGCATACTATGTGTAACTTTTCTATGTATCACATTAGAGTCTCAGTTGAGGGGGAGGAGAAAAAAGGAAGACAGAGGGGTTGTAGCCTGAGTTGGGTCTAAGCCCACCATATTCCACACCTTGATTAAGGTCCTGAATGGCCATCCCATGATCAATCAATCAATAAACATTTGTTAAGCACCTATTATGCTAAGTGCTGGGGATATAAAAGGAGGCAAAAGATAGTCCCTGCCTTCCAGGAGCTTATTGTTATTAGTAATATGGGATCCAGACCTCCATTGTAGATCAGAGCATTACATATCACATTAGTTTCTGGGCATACCATTGTAAGAAATATTGTAGTGAGCATACTTACTAAACTACAATTACTACAACCATGATTAGACCCTGGATAATCCAGTTACATAAATCTCTAAATGTTACCCATGTCCAAAGATCTTCCACTGTTCATTCTGGATCTTGTGGAAGGTATTACTCCTTCCAGGATTACTTTGCTTCCCTAGAGCTCCCTAATAAGCATTATTACTTCTGAAGTATAATCAAGGGTCAAAGGCAATTCTATCCTGTGGTTTGAGCCTGGGTAAGTGGATAAATGGTGATGCCTCTCATTTGAATTAAGTCAGGAAGAACTGGTTGGAAGGCATGGAATATTAGGGCATGCCAAATTTGAATGGTGAGAGAGAGAAAAAAGAAAAGGGGAACAGGTCTTTGAGGAATCCATACTTATCTTATATAGATATAGCCCCCAAACCATTAATTTTTATATTATCACATTAGTTTTGGGGCATACCATTGTAAACAATATTGTAGTGAGCAATGTATTGTTACTCAATGTATCATTTATCAAGTCTTACTTGGGATTGTTTCTGCTCATTTGCATGACCTTTGAAATGCAGAACTTTCATTATTTGTTTATGTATGTGAAAGGAAAGGTGTCAGAGCAAAACTGACCTCAGCACCAAGAAGACTTGAGTTCACTGACACATAAAGTCACTTAACCTCTCAGTGACCACAGGAAAGTCTCTAAGATGCAGAGAAGATGTTGACCTATGCTGACAAAGAAAATTCCTCTTCCTCAACTGTCTTATACCAATGAAACCAAAATATCTGATCCATGTCTCTATTTATATATTTATATTCTACATTGAGAAACATAAGAGACTGACTAGTATTTCAACTGTAAAGGCAAAAACAGACACTATAAATTGTATGAATGGGAAGGAAATAAAGGAGAAGAAAAAATTGGTAATTTGGTCAAGCTGAGACTATGTTAGGCAGATGGCAACAAATGAAAAAATGTTGAAAATTTGTCCAACATCCTAACCGTGGTTTTTGTTTGGATGTTCAGTGTTCTCTAGACACAGGTATGGCTAGAGTAATAAGTGTGAGGTTTATTGTCTGGAATTTAGACCCAGAGTGAGACCTAATCTTGGCTACAGGAGGTTAAGAACCAGTCTGTCTTCTAAGATGAGGATAAGCAGGGGATCACCACGTGACAGAAAAGCCCATCCTCCCAGTGTAGCAGCCACCACGAGGGAGCCTGAAGTCAAACTGCCCTGCTTTCTGTCCCGAGACCGCTCAACAGCCAGCATCCGTTGCCTCCACTGTGTCATAATTAAAGAATAGTCCCCTTCAGTATGAAATGACCCAGTACAGAGACACTCAGGAGGGTAAGGCCAACCTCTGCACAGCTAGCCCTGACTGACTTCAAGCCCTTTGGAGAGAGAGAGAGAGAGAGAGAGAGAGAGAGAGAGAGAGAGAGAGAGAGAGAGAGAGAGAGAGAACTTCACAGCTCAGATAATCATCTTATCTGTCCCCTCAGTGGCATCCTTTGTATCCTTGTGTTAAGCTGGACAGTGAAAGGGTTAACATGCGGCACTATGCTGGGGAAAGCACTAGACGTATTATGTTAAACCCCTTGTATAGAAAAGGAAAAATCCAACTGTTGTGCACAAAATCCCTACCCTTTCCAATCGATTGTTCCTACCATAGGGCATCTCGTCAGTTTTGATTCAACCTCCTGAAGCCTTTACTTCAATGAAGTGGCGCAGCAGGCACGTGAGAGACAGCTGCCGGGCTCCGGATGGCAAGTCACCAGTGTAGCAGAAGAGGAGAGCAGAGACAGGGAGGGATGTCACAGTGGGTAGCACTGGGACTATTTTAAGCCATGCCCCGGCCCTTAATCATAAACTCAGGGTTCAAAGGGCTGCTAGGCTGTTGGTCACTGATCTCATCTCAAGGTGATAGTCACCTCTGGCCTTTCGGCAGACAGCAAGCCTACTATCCATCCATCTTCTAGCAGCTTGACACTAGATTCTCTACCCATTTTACAGCCAGCGAACATTCCCGATTGATTTATTGATTTCTGTCTGCCTGTGGAAGGAGCTCAGAACAGACTCTATGTGCTCTTGCAGCCTCCTGCATAGATTTTTTTCCTCCTTTTTATCCAAGCCGTGTTAGCAGTCTGGGGTGGACCAGCAATTAGAGCGTGCGGGAGCCCAATTTACTGGTGGTGAATGTGCCAAGCTCCAGATGGAAGATCTGCTTTGCTTACACACCCTTTTCCCTCTTTCTGCCCTCTCTTTCATTCTGTTCCTAAGCTATCCACAATAGCCTCCATCACTCCTTTCTTTGCTCTGTGTACTGCTCCTTCTTCCCCATGATCTCTCCTTGCCATATTTCCATAATCCAATGTCAAACAAATAGGCAAAAAGGTGATTAGGTGATTGGAGGCTCTTTGATTCTCAACCACCTTTTCCTTTGTCGCTTCCCATTGTGGGAAGGCCTTCACTTCCCCGAGCAGGTTCCTTTTGTCTTTTGCTTTGGGATAAGCCAGCCTCAGTTGCTTTAGGTGACCGAAAAAATCTATTTTGGAATAATTCTGGTTCAACTCCTTTTTGTATTCTAACAAAAATCTTAGCACTCTCATCTTCACCAGCAGCCAAAGAAGGCACTCTGAAAAACAATGAAATCAGGTGAAAGGTGGGACAGTCCCAAGCTCAGTGCTTCTTTAATCACAACACCAAGGTCATATGAAGTGCATGTTGGGACAAATCCCTTTCTTTGAGAGATAAGCAGAAGATGTAAATTCCTGACAGCTACCATTCATCCACAGGATATAAGATGCACCCTCACAGACCACTGGAATGGCAACCACCAAGCATTATTGTAAGCAGAAATATAGATGGCTATGTTTAGTGACAATTGCCTTCAAATAATTGAGAATGAGATCTTTACAAATCACACTTCCATGTCCCACTGGCTTTCCTGCTTTGTGAGTTCTCTGCGCACCATACACATTTGTCTCCCTAATTAAATTGGGGGGGGGGGAAGAGAGGATGACTCCAGCATGCAATGAGCAAAATTCAGCATCTATACAGGCACTGGCTATCTCCAGCATATTTGCATTCCCAAACACATTTCTCACCAAAATCCTCTTTTGCTTCATGTAAAACAAATAAGGCCAATTCACAGGAACAAATCTCTTAAAGATAAATAGACCCATTAAGGGAGAAAAGCTATCTGATTTTTAGTCATAAACATCAGGGTTCTTTCTATATAGAATCCAAAAATTTTTTTAATGGCTGCACAGATCCTTTAGCCAGATACAGGTAGCGTTGGCATTCTGGGCTACCTTAATTCCTAAAGAAAGCTTCCTCTTCATAGTTCAAATCCTGTCTCTGACACTCGCCAGTTGTGTGAACCTGGGAAAAACTCTCAACCTCTCTGTGCTCCAGTTTCTTCATATGCAAAATGGGGATAATAATAAGTCCTACTTACAGGGGTGTCATGATGATCAAATGACAACACATATAAAGCATTTTGCAAAACTTAAAGTGCTACATAAATACTAGCCATCATCATCATCATTATTATTATTATTAAATAGTTGTGCCATTTGCCTATGAGACTTGGTCGACTGATAATAAAATAAAACCTCATAGGATTGTAGGTTTAAGGCTAGAAAAGATCTTAGAGGTCACTGAATTCAACCCCTTGTTTTGCAGATGAAGGATCTAAGGCTGAGAAGGGGTTATGACACACATCATACAGCTAGCAGTTGTCTTAGAATTTGAACTCAGATCCTCCTGGGTCCAAGCCCAGAGTTCCATCCACTTTACCCTCTAGCTACCTAGGTGTTATCCCTAGTCTGTGTGATAATAGAACTACTTGGATTTTTTTGCTACCTACTTTTGTCAAATCTTGGAAAAATTTTTAAGATTTTGATTTGTTAGGGATTTTACCATTTGACATTGTATATCTTTATTGGAAAATCTACCCAGAAAGAGAGGTGGGAACTCGGGTGCTTGGTTTGATAAGCTGACTTTTGAAAGTTGTATTTCTTTCTCTTAAGAAATGAGAGAAGGGGCAGCTAAGTGGCACAGTGGATAGAGCACTGGCCCTGAGGTCAGGAGGACCTGAGTTCAAATTTGTCCTCAGACCAAACACTTGACATTACCTATGTGACCGTGGGCAAGTCACTTAACCCCAGTTGCCTAACAGAGAGAGAGAGAGAGAGAGAGAGAGAGAGAAATGGGAGAAGAGCCAGCAATGTATATGCTGCTGACATCTAACCAGTGTTACAGAAAGAACCGGGCTTGACACTGAGGCAAACCTGGCTCCATCACTAATTAACAAAGTATAGATCTTTGGGCAAGTCAGTTGCTGGCCCTGAGCCATTGTCACACCAACATCTTGTACTCCACTATGCCAATCTGACCTGGTTCTCCAGCTCCTGCCACAGATCCCAGGGTTACTGATTTTGTCACCCTATCTAGGTAAATCTAGACCTGCCATGATGGCTCACCAGCCATCTTCATGTTCTCTATGCATCTCTATCTCAGGAACAGTAATCAAATCAACACTACCATTCCTGGAAAAGACTTGTCATCAATCACTTTGTAATTTAACTCACCATCCCCATGACTTCCCTGACCAAAATACTTCTCCTTGACCACCACTCACTTACGTGTTTTGTCTTATTAGAATGTGTACTTCTCAAGGGCAGGGACTTCTTCATTTTTTTATTTGTATCCTATGCTTGGCGCCTAGTAAGTAACAGCCTAATTTTTTTTCTCTAATTTATCCCTGCATTCAATACACCATTACCTGAAACAAGAGTATGGAATGAATCATTTTGCAAGCTTTATGATGCTGTGATAGGTATTTTCCCTTTATCATAATGACTCAGAAAATCAGCAGAACTGGATTCCATTATACTGAAGATTTATACCTGCTCCTCAAAACAGGTTATCAAAAGGGAAAGTACAGAAGGACTTATGTTCTTACAATAAAAAAAAGTTGTGTTCTCTCTCTCTCTCTCTCTCTCTCTCTCTCTCTCTCTCTCTCTCTCTCTCTCTCTCTCTTTCTCTCTCTATCTGTCTGACTGTCTGTCTCTCTCTCTCTGCTTCTCTCTGTATGTTTGTCTCTCTCGGTCTCTCTGCCTTTGTATGTCTGACTCTATCTCTCAGTCTGTCTCTCTCTCTTTCTCTGTGTGTGTGTGTGTCTCTGTCCGCTTTTAATCTGTCTTTCTCCTTCTCTCTGTGCGTGTCTCTCTTAGTGGATTTGGTGTTCTTTTTTCCTATTAGAAAGTAGGGGGGAGTCTAGGCTATATTAAAGTCATGGCCTATGTTATACCACAGGAACAGTTAAAGCAGTACTCTTTATAACTTGGGGGCCTTGACAGCATGGTCAACAGAATAGTAATAATTATTATTATTAACAACAACATCATTTATATAGTGCTTACTATGTGACAGTCACTATGCTAAGTATTTTGCAATTACTATCTCATTTAACCTTAGCAACAACCCTGGGAGGTAAGTGCTATTATTATCCCCATTTTACAGATGAGGGAACTGAGGCAAACAGAGATTGAGTAACTTACCCAGAGTTCCACAGTCAGTAAGTGTCTGAGGCTGGATTTGAACTCAGGTCTTTCTGACAACAGACCCAAAACTCTATCCACCGTGCCACATAGATGCTTAGAATATTTGGCAGGCCGAACCTGACTGAACACACAGATAATTTTGCTCAAGAGGGGGAGATAAATCAGGATTCATAAACACATGGAAATTTCCAGCTCACTGCAAACATACATGTCATTCAAAAATGAGTTCTATAAATTGAGAACATAATCTTTAAGCGTATCCAATGACACAAGATATCCTATAAATGGTGTAGAATCAGATTACCTCTCCAATTGAATCTACCTTGACACAAGGCCATGTGACTTCCATAACTTTTCGCGGAGAGCAAGAGAGGGAAAGAAGGGAGGAAAGAAAAGACATAAAACTGGAGACGGAGTCACAGGCAAATATTTTATTGCTGTTCAGTCGTGTCTGACTCTTCATGATCCCATGTGTGGTTTTCTTGGCAAGGATACTGGAATGGCTTGTCATTTCATTCTCCAGCTTATTTTACAGATGAGGAAACTGAGACAAACAGGATTAAGTGACTTTTCCAGGGTCACACAGCTAGTAAGTATCTGAGGCCAGATTTGAACTCAAGAAGATGAGTCTTCCTGACTCTAGGCCTAGTGCTCTATCCACTCTGCCAGCTAGATGCCCCATAGACAGAAAAACAGAGTCAGAGATAAACTGACTACCACTTACCTCTTTCTGTACCAGGAAAAGCCTAATGAGAAGACACTAGGAGGGGATGTCAAGAGAAAGTGGGAAGCAATACTATCTACTGCTTTTGTATCCTGCAAGAAAGAGAACAGGGAGAGAAGAGGAGAGTCAAGCACAAGAGAGCTCTCAGAAGACATACACAGTTTTTAAAGCTGGCCAATACCTCCAGTCTAGTTGGATTATTGCCAACATCCCTCCCTTAGCCCCTATGAGGATTGAAGTCAACATCGTTCAATAAATTCCAATTCAACAAACATTTATTAAGTATCTATTATGTACAGGGTACTAGAGACAGAAAGACAAGAACTGATGCTTGCCTTCAAGGCACATAGACCTCCCCATATGCATTCTAGGTTCTACGCCAGGTTTGAAGCTCTGTGAAGGTATCACTCGACACTATTTTGAGTGTCCAGACTCTAGCCTGGCATTCACAGCTCCACATGGTCTATCTACCTTTCAGACCTTAGCTGACAACAGAAATCTTATTTTCTGGCCATATTATTTTCCTCACCATACCCTAAACACACCATGCATTTTCCCATCTCTGTGCCTTAACTTACACTATTCCCCTGACCTGTAATGCCCTCTATCCTTCTTTATGTCTATTTGAATCACACTCATGTTTTAAGACCCTACCATCAATTGCTACATCCTGCATTAAACCTATAATCCCCCCAGTTCTCAGTGATCTCCTCTTTTTCTATTATAAAGCTTTTTGTCAGCATCTCTCATTAAACACGGATATACTGTCTTATATTGTTATTTAAATGTTCATGTGAGAATGTTTTAACTCCCTAGCTAGATTAAAAGCTCTTAAGGAAAGAAGCATTCTTATACATTGTATTCCCTACAGTGCCTAGCAGAGTGCTAAGCACTTAAAAGAGATTCAGTAAATATTTGTTGAAGGAAGGAAATCTTCCTGCAGGGCTTGAGTTACAGGTAAATGCAGAAATTACATGTGTCCTATTTTAAAGGTGAACAATGAACAAAAATCTCAGAGAAGGGAGAAATAGAGAAAGTAAAGAAAGGGTAAATAGGGAAGAAGATAAGGAAAAAGAGAAAAAGAGAAAATACATAGACAGAGAAAGGAAATAATAGAAAATATGATCTTGAAGCTCTCCAAGAAAAATTGATAAATCATGCTCAGATTTCTGAAACTTCAAATCAGATTAAAGCATTCCAAATCTCAGAATGGTCGTGGTCTGGAGGGTAGGTGAGTGAAAGCCAGACTGATGATCTATATCTTACTTCAGAATCTCAAAGAAAGCAAGATCACAGGAGGTCTGGGAAGAAGTCAGGTCAGGGGGACAGGTGGAATCTATTGACAAGAGACCAATTTGACCAAAAACCTCATTTTTAACCAATTGGTTTGAAGTTATACAGTCATAACTAGACCTCACTTGTTCCAAAAATATTACCATTCCCATTGTCTTTTCTAAGCATTGCATAACTGGTCTAATGAAAAAAAAATCTGAATTTTTTTATTTTTGAGATGAACAATTCAGCAGTCAGAAGCCATTGTCCACAAGGCCATTGAGACTTATGGGCCTCTACTCTAGTTGAGGCTTTTTATCACCTTTTATTTGAACTATTGCAAGGACCTCTTAGTTGGTCTCCCTGCCTTCAGTTCTTCCTCCCTATCCAATCTATTCTTCATCCAGTTACCAAGATGATATTCCTAAAACACAGATCTGACCATTTTAGCAACCCAGGTCAAATTTTTTTCAATGGTTCCCTGTTGTCTTTAGTTTAAAAGACAAAAGTCCTTCACATTTTTGCTCCTACCTACTTTTTTGTTTATATTTTATGTACTCAAGACAGAGTACAGAGGGATTATGACCTTATTTCTGGAAGCTATGTCTATGGTTATGGGGCTCAATAGTATATTAGCTTTTTGGCTGCCACATAACACTGCTCATTTATATTAAACTTGTATTCCACCAAAAATCTCAGATCGCCTTATAATTACGCTTCCCAGATCTTATATTCATGAAGCTAATTTTTTAAACCAAAGTTTAAGACTTTGCATTTATTCTAGTTAGAGACAGACATGAGACTTCACCAAATGTTCTAGCCTGACAAGATCTTGTTGGATCCCAACTGTCACCCAACAATCCCTCCCAACTTTCTGTTATCTACAGATTTGCAGCATATGCCACTTATGACTTTATCCACATCATTGACAAAAAACATTAAACAGAAACAGAGACTGAGACAGGACAGCTGGGTGGCACAGCGCATACAGTGCCAGACCCAGGTTCAGGCTCATCTTCATGCGTTCAAACCTGGCCTCAGACACAGGCTATGTGACCCTAGGCAAGACACTTAACCCTATTTGCCTCAGCTTCTTCTTCTACAAAATGAGCTGCAGAAGAACATGGCAAACCACTCTGACTGTGCCAAGAAAATCCCAAATGAGGTCATGAAGAGTCATGCATGATGCAATGATCAAACAACAACAAAAAAGGACTGGTACAAATCTCTGGCACACTTTGAGTCCATCCATTCAAACTGTTGTGCATCCATTTATCAGTATATATCTCTCCATCAAAAGCATGAGATATTTTTTCAAAACTTTCACTAAAATCTAGGTAAACTTTATCTACAGTGTTTCCCTGTTCCACTGGTTTAGTAACCTTGTTTAAAAAAAAAAGAAGTAAATTTTAGTATGACATGACTTGTTTTCCTCTTTTAAATGTTCACTAAAATATCTTTCATATTATGTTCAAGAATTGAATTGAATTAAATTGAATTTTAACCACCCAGCTTTGATTTAAACTATTCTTTCCAATAGAGAGGCAATGTGGAATAATAGAAAGAGGACTGATTCTTAGAGCTAGGAAGACTTGGATTCAAGATTTACCTTTAATACATACTAGCTGTACAAACATGGACAAGTCAAGTAACTTCTCAGTGCCTCAAGTACATTTATAAGAGTTATTGTTCTACATTGTACCAGAAATTTTATACAAGAAGCTCCCTACACTGATGAAATCAAAGATATTGAGCCTCATAATATCTTTTGATCATATCATTAATTAAGGAATCTTCTCTCTCCAGAAAGGAAATAGCTAAATTTTCCTGGAAAGATCATAAATGCTTGCATTTATATGTTGAGCCCAAATGACACATATAAAAAACATACAAAAAAAACCACCCAGGCTTCTACAGTAGGCCTACATTTATTCAAATCAACTATCTTCTGCAATTTTTTCATTTGAATTCCTGCCATTGGATAGCCAAGGCAATAAATTGCTGTCACATTCACTAATTTATTCTATTAAATTCACTAATATTAAATATATTAAATTCATTAACTAATTTCCTGTCATTCACTAATTTGTATCCATTTAATTTTTATTAAATCCTTCTTTTGTACACAAAACCTTGTAGGGCACCTTGGAGGAAATACAGAAGGAGAAAATAGTGTTCCTGTCCTGAAAATGTTATAGCTTACTTATGGAGGTAAGAGATAACCTATATAAGGCAGCATTGGACATTGGGGGTGGGAGGGAGAGAGAGAAGGAGGGGAAGGCTGGTTTTAGAGTCAAACAATCTGCCTCTGAATCCTAGCTCTGACACCACATTACCTATTTAAACCACTTAACTTCTCTTATTTTTAAAAGGAGAGACAAGGAGGAGATGGTCTCTAAGGATCTTTTCAATTCTAAATCTATGAAAGAGCTAAGGAACAGGATATTGCTTGGGGGCCTTTTCATAGAAATTTGAGGCTGTACTAAGAGAAGCACTAAGGCAATAGTCCCATTTCATTCTGCCCTGATCAGAGCATATTGGGAATGTTATATTCAGTTTCCATTGCCACATTTTAGGAAGGACATTGATAAACTGAAAAAAATCCAGAGGATGGTAACCAGGATGGTGAAGGGTCTTCAGGTCATACCATATGATGATTGACTGAAGGAACAGGTGATTTTTAGCTTGAGAAAGAAAATACTTAGGGAGGACACAGTAACTTTCAAGTATTTGAAGAATTGTCACATGGAAAGACATTTGTTCAATTTGACCAGGGTGAAACTAGAAGGAATGGGAGGAAGTCATAAAAAAGCAAGCAAATTTAGTCTTGAGGTATGTAGAAATTGCCTAGTCCTCAGAAATATGCACAATGGTTTAGACTGCTCAGGAAGGTAATTGGTTCTCCCTCAGTGGAAGTCTTCAAGTAAAATCTAGGTGATCACCAGGTTATAATTTTCTAGTTTCACAGATTTAAAGCTAGAATATTCCTGAAAAGTCTTCTTGTCTAATCTCTTTATTTTACAGATGAGGAAAAGGGGGTCAAAGAACGTATGGGATGTGCTAAACAGCCACTGAGCTCCCTTCCACATGTAAAATTCTGTAATTCTGTCAATCCTTAAGCCGGCCATTCGTTTAAGGAAGATGGAGAGAAAGAAAAAGAGAGAGAGAGAGAGAGAGAGAGAGAGAGAGAGAGAGAGAGAGAGTATGAATAGAGAGTGTTAATTTGTTCCAATAAAAACCTCAAATGCCTGAGATAAAGCACAACTTCTCAGAGATGTCCATATGTGAAGGAATTAATATTAGCATTGTGCCACTAGTTTCAGACGAAGGAAAGGAAAACTAGTCAATCCACAGCATTGGGTAGCGTCTATGTATAATCACTGACATGATTCTTGGGGTTTTTTAAGCCATGTTAGCAATCAATTAATTGCCCTAGTATTCACCAAGACAAACAATCCATATCTTCTAAGCAGCAACTCTTCCACACCTTGGTTGCACACTTGCAGGCAAAGACTTTTTATTTTTGGCTTTATATCTCCATGTTCTAGCATGCAGTCTTGCATATAGTAGGTGCCTAGTAATTTTTTTTCAATTGAATTGAATTTCCAGTCATGACCCAGTCCTTTCCTACTGGGCCAATCAATCATAGTGCTTCAAAAGTGTAGGGACCCCTGCAGTACAACTTCATTAGTTCAGTATTACTGTTTTATTTAAAATTGTGCAAAAGAAAATGCTGTTGTTTGTTTTTTTAATATGGCAATATAAGCATAGTTCACTCAAAGTTAATTTTTCTTACTTATTTTTAATTCAGTTCCATTCAAAAAACATTTATTATACACTAGGCTAGGTACCAGGAATACAAAGACAAAAATGAACCAGGCACTGCCCTTAATGGCCTTACATTGGAGAGAAACAGTTTTTATATACAGATAAGGAAATAGAAAATAAATGCAAAGTAATTGTGGGTTGGGGGAAGCACTAACAAGTGGAAGAGTTAGAAAAGATCTTTTGTAGAACATGGCACTTGATAAACTAAGCCTTGAAGGGAGCTTGAAGGGTTTACAAGAGGCACTAATGAAGAGAAAGAAAATTCCCAGCCTGAGGGATCAGTTGTGCAGTGACAAGAGGTGAGAGACAGAATGCTGTGTTCTTGGGAGCATCAGTGAGGCCAGTTTGGCTGCAATATAATATGCATGTGGGGAAGAAATGTGTGATCAAACTAGGAAAATGTGACTATTAGATTATGAAGGGTTTCAAAAACATTACAGAGGCATTTGTGTTTGATCCTAGAAGCAACAGAGAGCTACTGAAGCTTCTTGAGCGCTGAAGTAACATTATCAGATGTGTGCTTTAGGTATATTGACTCACAGTGGGCTGAGCCAACATAATAAGCATTGACAAGAAAACCAAAGCTAATTTACTTACTCAGTGGCCATACCATGCAACTACCATAAGACTGTGTTAGAGATCTAGAAAAGTAATTTTTAAAATTGATCTGGAGGAACAAAAGATCAAGAAGGGAAATAGTCTTTTTAAAAAATTGGAAAAGAAGAGGGCCTACCAGCACCAGATCTCAAGCTGTACTATAAAGCATGATCATTAAAACTTTGATAATGGTTTTAAAAATAGAAAGACTGAGCAGTGGGACAGATTAAGTTCACAATATTAAGAACCAAAACACTTGGTAGCATTATGATCAATAAACCCCAAGACCCTAACTTTAGGGGAAAGAACTCATCATATACCAATAATTTCTGGAAAAACTGGAAATCGGTATAACAGAAATTGGATATAGACCAACACTTCAAATCATATACCAAAATAAGTGTCAGTTGGATACATGACAGATATAAATGATCACATTAAAACCAAATTAGAGGATTAAGGAAGGAAACATCTATCACAACTGTGGGAAGAGAAGAGCTCATGACCAAACAAGGGATGTAGAGGATCATAGCAGAGAAAAAGGACAGTTTTGATTACGACAAATTGAAAAGATTTTACGCAAATAAAATCAGGGTGGTAAAAATTAGAAGATAAACAATTAACTGGGCAAAAAAATCTGTGCACCAACTTTCCCTGACACGGGTATGATATCCACAATGTGAAAAGAATTGATTTAAATTGATAAGAATGATAGTCATTTCTTAAGGCATAAATGGTCAATGACTATGGACAGGTAGCTCTTAAAAGAAAAAATCCAAGCAACCAACAGCCATGGCAGGGGGGGGGGTGGTAATGTTTCAGATCACCAATAATTAGTTAAATACAAATTCAGATAACTCTGAGGTTCTACCTCATACTAATCAGATTGGCAAATATGACTAAAAAGGAGAATGTTGGAGGAACTCTGGGAAATAAACATGTTAATATACTGCTGGCGGGCATATGATTTGGGGCAGCCATTCTAGAAAGCAATTTGGAACCATACCCAAAAATCATTGTACTGGCAAATAATTGGAAACTAGAGGTAAGGGAATAATCATAAATTGGGGAAATAGTTGAACAAATTATAGCATATGAATGTAGTGGAATATTATTACACCATAAGATATGACAAAAGGGATGTTTTCAGACAAATTTAAGAAGAACTTAATGAATTGATACAGAGTGAAGTGAGCCAAGCCTGGAAACCATTTATCCAGTAATAATAACATTTTAAAGACAAATATCTTTGAAAGACTTTAAAACTTTGATCAGTGCAATGACCAACCACCATTCCCAAGGATCTGTAATGAAACATGCTACCAGGCGTACTCTAGTGAACGTCTTGCCCGTGGCTCCAAGAAGCTATAGCATGTGCAGTGACCACACCACAGTAAAACCGTCTCAGCAGATGGGCCAAACCAGGTTGAGGGTAACCATTAGACCTCAAACCCATTGATGAGTTACAGGGCTTTCTACCCCAAGCGTGTGAAGGCTTCCCCCAGCTCATGCAGATGAGAACAATTTGTTTCAATAGCCATGAAGGGGACTGAAGTAGGTGCTGTAGAGAACTTAGAGCTTGGTCAGACATTGAAGATACCAAGGTCATCCACTACATCCTGGGCCATCACCAGTCATCTTGACTTTTGTCTTGCCACTGGGCTTCAGTGTGTCTGTAAGGGAGAGTGAAGCTGACCAACTTTGCACAACTCCGCCTCACTTAAACCCAATTCACATGCAAGTCAAGACATCAACCATAATGTCACTGGTCCTCTTCAAAACTGAAGGACAAACAACAAGTAAACATCTTGGTGGTGGATGATGCATAACACACTTCTGCATTATTAACATTTTATATATCACTCTCTTAAGTCTAAACAATCAACAATTGGTAGCATTTGCCAATATTTCCAAGGTATGAATGCTCACACTGAAAATTTAGCAACCAGCACTCATGAACTAGGTTCAAGCTGCTCCAATACACTTCTGCCAGAGTTGGTGAATACAAGGTACAGAATAAGTCATACCTTTTGTACATGCCCAATGTGGGTATTTGTTCTGCTTAACTATCCATATGCAATACAAGAGTTATATTTTTTGTTCTTGTTTCAATGAGGGGGGGTGAGTTGAAAGGGAAAGGGAGATAGCAATGGGCTTAATAATTTTTTAAAAGAAAAATTACTAAAGAGGGTCATTGATGCATTTTAAATGTATAGAAGAGAACAAAAACAAAATCAGTAGGAAACACAAACAAGTAAAAAAAGCTTTGAAAATAATATGCTGAGGGGCAAAGCCAAAATGGCAGAGTAAAAGCAGTGACTTGCTTGAGCTCTCCCCCAAACCCCTCCAAATACCTGTTAAAAAAAATGCTCTAAACAAATTCTAAAGCAGCAGAACCCACAAAAAGACAGACTGAAACAAATTTCCAGCCCAAGACAACCTGGATGGTTGATTGAAAAAGTCTATTGCGCCAGGCTAGAAAAGGAACACAGTTCAGCATGGGCGTGCCAGCAAAACAGGCCTCAGTGAACTAGAACAGGCCTCAGAGGACTGAATCACAGGCAGCTGTGGCAGTTTCCAGATTTCTCAGACACAAACACCAAAGACAACTTAGAAGGTCAGTAGGAAAAGTCTGTGATTGCAGTGAGAGAGAAGCTCATTCCTAGCCCCAGTCCAGGTGCAGCCCCAGGGCAGTGGCTGCTTCTGGAGCTCAGCCCACAGCTGAGGGGGAACTGAGTGGCTGATCAGAGGGGGATTGCAGGGATTTCTTTGCTGGTGCTGAGGCAGGATTCTTTTTCTTTGTCCATGCTTGGATATGCGTCACAGTTCTGGGTGATGATCCTGGGGCAAGGAGGAGCGCTGGTGTGGTGGAGCTTGTAGTGGTTATGAAGAGAGAATCCTCCACAGTTCCAAGGCAAAAAAGAGTGCTTGTGGTCACTCATAGACCAGAGCACAGGCCAGGAAAGGAGTAAACAGCTCACCCTTGATCATACCACCTTGGAAGACCAGAAAATTTACAGGTCCCTAGAAGTATCTCTGAAAACAGCTGCTACACAAAACCCCTGAAGCTTGGGACAGTACATTCTCCACACTGGAAGCAGACCCCTACCTTAACAAAGAGTTAATAACTCAAGTAATTGGCTGGGATCATGAGCAAACTTTCTTTGGTGACAAAGAATATCAAAACATACAGCCAGAAGACAACAAAGTCAAAGCTCCTACATCCAAAGCCTCCAAGGAAAATATGAATCAACCCAGGCCTTGGAAAAGCTTAAAAAGGATTTTGAGAAGCAAGTAAGGGAAGTATAGGAAAAACTGGGAAGAGAAATGAGAGTGATACAAGAAAATCATGAAAAACAAGTCAACAGCTTGCCATAGGAGACCCCAAAAAAAAATATGGAAGAAAGTAACACCTTAAAAAATAGCCTAACCCAAATGGCAAAAGAGGTCCAAAAAGCCAATGAGGAGAAAAATACCTTAAAAAGCAGAATTGGCCAATTGGAAAAGGAAGTGCAAAAGCTCACTGAAGAAAATACTTCCTTAAAAATTAGAATGAGCAATTGAAGCTAGTGACTTTATGAGAAATCAAGACATGTAAAACAAATCCAAAAGAATGAAAAATAGAAAACAATGTGAAATATCTCATTGGAAAAACAACTGACCTGGAAAATAGATCCAGGAGAGAGAATTTAAAAATTATTGGACTATCTGAAAGCCATGATCAAAAAAAGAGC